GACTTGCGAACCCAGGATTTTTGCGTCTGTGCCACGTATTCAGCAAAAAGAGCATGTAATGGAGTGAAAGAGAGGGTGGTCATCCTCTAAAGTAAATCTTTAAAAGAAGCATAATTTAAGAACGGCTGGGAATAGGTGGCCGTCCTTTTTACCATCATGTGCGCCTAAAAAAAGTACACTATCGTGACAACCGATATCGGTCGATATGGTATATATTGATAAAGTTATGCTCGATTATGTACGCGAAAACAGAAAAAGGGCGCTGGTGACAAAAAAAAGTACTAACGATTCTGTTATTGTTTTGATATTCTGTCATCCCAGACTCTTGCGCATCTGGTGACCTATTTTTTATTCGCCAGTTCCGAGAAAAGTGTCGTTTCGATGCGTGGTGGGCCCGGGATGACAATTCGAGTTGAGTTGGAAGTTCATGTGAAGTCCTGGAAACAAGAAAAAAAGAAGATCCACGCTTCCCTAACTCAAAAAGTCATTAGAAACCGAGGGTAGCTTGTATGGAGACTTTTGTTCCTCGTGCGCTAAAACGCCGAATTAAATTTTTTATCTATACTTAACAGGAAAAAAGTTGCCTCCTTCGCGATATATAGGCAAATAAAGAATGGGTGCTATCATTTCGGGACAAAACAGGTGAAAATTTAGGTCGAAAAAAGTGTTTATAGACAAGGCATTTGAATTTAGCCAAAATCTGACTTGACCACGGGAATGCGCGCATAAAAGCACCCCTAGGGCAGTTTTTATACGGAGCAGTATCATTTGCTTCCTGGATGTGCAGGGCCAAACATGGCCAAAAGTGGTGATTTTGGCCGTCCAAGGTGTCCATTTTCCGCGAAAATGGCGTTTTTTGGCGTCACTAAAAAAATCATTGCGAAGCAACTACTGGAGATATGCTTGTAAAACTTTGGGAGCGGTCGTGCGAACACATGCGCCAAGTTTTCTGCTAAAGTCTGCAGGCCAGATCTGCCGGGCGGCACATAAAACCGGAAAAAACCACCTAAAAAAAGAGCATGCCAAACAAAGTCTCACATTTCGCTGAATAACTTTTGATCTAGAAGAGTTAGACAAATTCTGATTGCGGGAACGGCTCCGCCGTGTGTTTTTACATATGTCTATGTCCCGTAGATAAAAAGTACATGTTGCAAAAAAAGTACATGTTGTACATAAATCTACCTTTGATATTCGGATTCCCCGTGAAAAACTACGCCTAGGCCGCAGGGTTACAAAGACGAGTCATTGCACTTATGCCCTTTTATAGACGCTTTTAGAAATCGGCCAAAACAGTAATTATTAATTTAGACAGTGTTCCGCTGACATGTCGCATGCT